CTGTTACTTCCTTGCCATTCCTGTAAAGTTCTCACTTTCCACGTCACTCGGGACAGGAAACTTGTCCACTGGAATGGAATTATCTGTTGTGTATATTAATGGGAGCTTATTTCCTCTACATTGTCCTCTGCTCCTTTCAATGTGGTCTTTGGTGTTTGCACATCACTGGGTCACTCCTGTGCTGCGCCATATGACCAACTGCCACCAGCTTTGTACAATGCATCTTTTTTTTTCCTGTTTCAGCTGTCAAACTTCTCAATCATATTCTCAACCCCATTTTTTTAATAGAAACTGTTGCTTTCTGTATGTTTATGTCATGCCTAATACAGGAGGGTTCTGATCCCTGACTTGTGTCTCATTAATCTTTGTCTCAGTCAATGATAACTTTGAACGGAGTGTTTTGTTACACCACATGTAATTTTAGTGGATTTTCTGTCTTGCTAACCTGGTAATTTGTTATACAGAGTTTATTACCGTAATTAATAACAATATAAATAACAATTTACCCTGGTGAATTATTATCAGAGAGATTCCCATTGATTCCATTTCTTGTTAAAAAGTCACGAGATGCATCTCCCTCGTTTGGTCTGATCTGACCCTCTGCACTTGACATAAATGAAAACATACCCGTGTGCACACTTGCATGCACACGCAGTCATGTGTGCTCACACAGCTCCTTGCTTTGCTCCAGCCCCCTCCTAGGTGGGCGTGCTGGATGCAGTAGGGCTGGTCCCAGAGGAGGCACTCCCTTCTCTTGCAAGCTCTTAAGTTCTCTTCTCACCAGCCAGAATATTTCAGAAGTATTTTCATAAATGCAGGTGCATGGGGCTGTGGGGAGCAGCTTGCTTTGACTTACATTGCCATTTCACCTTGCAGCAGACATGCTTTTGGGAGCAATTATCTGTGTACTAATTAACAAGGGAGTTTTCTCTGATGCTGCAGCGTGATTCACACAGATTCCAAACGATTAGTTTGTTAGTTACCGAATAAAACACTTGCAGATGTACTTTGCGGTGATAACATCTCTGACTGGAGATGACTTGTTATGGACGCAGAAGTAAAGATCTGCAGGGCCAAAATGTGACTGTGTGATCCAGAATTTTAGGCTCTTCCAGCAGCGAGCATGCCCCCAGAGTCAGCAAGGGGAACTTTGTTCATGGCTTTAACTTGCAGCAAAGTTCTGCGATCAGGGCTGGGCACAGGGAAAAGTCCTTTTGCCTCTTCTCCTCACTGCTGCTCGTCTACATGGCAGGGAAGGAGAGACAGCAGTCATTTGGCCTTCCTAGGAGGTGAAGTGCTCTTCTGAAGAGGAAGACAACAAAGATGCCTTGGCTTGCTAGCTCCCTTTCCTGAAATAGAGGGCTAATGTGCGCTGAGTGATACCAAACAGAGCAACCAAATTCACGCTTTCTTAGTATGCTGTGTCATGAGTTAAAGGTGAGCTTGGGACAGCCAACCTTTGTCTTGTAAGAAAACAGTTTCCATTAGCTTCCTTTTTTTTTTTTTTTTTCTTTCTTTTCTGCAGCATTGCCTGTATAAGCATTTCTTAATAAGAAGAGCATTATGGAACACTGGGTTGTACTGCAAACAAATGCAGCAGTTCTGCCTTTTGCGAGTACCCAAGATGCGTGATATGTGACATACAACTGAACGCTTTTCTCTGCAGTACTAATACTAATCAACCAGTTTAAAAAGTTTTAATACTTTGATTAGTATTGACTTTATTAAACATGCTGCTCCTGACTTGTGCTGAAGTTAGCTGTAGGAGAGTCAGAGCTGCAACCCATGAATGAAAATGGTACAGATTTGAGACTATAGATGTGGCAGTGTAAATTGTAAAGAGTAAGGTAAGTAGGTTTTAGAAGTAATTTAAATTAGCATCTTCTGATGGTGTCTGCAGCAGGAGAATGTTTGAAGATTTGTTGGCTAATAATTCATAGTGAATATGTGCTGTGCATGACTTAGCAGGTGCTGTGAGGAGGGACTGACCCCATTCATGGTTTAGCCATAGCCAGCACTGAAACTGAAAACTGTAGCACACAGAGGGAAATACAATTAAACTGAATAAGTCTTTGACCTCTGAGTAGGAGGAGGGAGCTGCTTCTTCAAAATCAATGAAGTGATGCAGGTTTTAGCAATGGAGGGCCTTATGTAAAATCTGCTTGGGAAATAATCCATTCCTTTATTTTGGCATCCTTTATATTGACAAACATTAAGAACAAGCATGTTACTGAAAGCCCCTTCTGTAGCAAAAGACCTGCAGTTAGGACGTACAAGACAAACAAAAATAAAGATAGAATTCATCAATCATACCTTACCATACACATGTAAAATAATCAGGTTAGGTTGTCTTCAGTTTTGCTGGCCTAATAAGCACAGCGTCTAGCAGAAACACTGTTTCAATGATACAGAAATGAGCATGACCACTTTCTTTAGCTATGTTCAGCAGTTACAGAAAAGAAAATTCTGCACCAAAATCTGCCTGACATTTGAAAAACACATCAGTGCTTTAAGTGGGTTGTGAAATGAGCAATGTAGTTCCTTCACATTACTCCTAATGCCGTATTTATGTTTATGGATGTGTTGGCCTTGGTTGGTGGTAGGTTCTACTTTTGTAATTTAATTTAATTTCTTTCCTATTATAGGCATGCAGCTTGCAAATCTAATAATAAATTTATGTAAATATTACTTTGGAGGCATCTGGTCCTTAAGGAAGCCTTAGAAATCAGTGTTTGTTGTATTTATAAAATACACGTAAATAGTCCCTGGAAGATCTTCTGCAAGGCTGGGTATGTGGTAACACACAGGGACATTATGATCCTTCAGGACAGACAAACCTGAATGAGTACTTTGAAGGAAATGTGATAAACTCCCATCTTTTTAGGTCCTTGTCTGGTCACAGGTTCAGTGACACAATGCCAAGTGTTCCCTGTTGCCCTGATATCTGTAAAAGGTAGAGGTGAAGTAAGCTTGCAGCAAATTGGCAGAAGAAACTGTATTGTTTATACATGAAGGGAGTTTCTGTGTGTGCTTGTCTTGCTTTACCCATGTGTCTCTACTAGACAGCAATGTCCTGTGTCAGTATGGGCAAGCTGCCTAGATACACAAAATTCAGTTGTGGTTTATGTCAGTTGAGGGTTTTCTCACTGAGGAGGAGTAGCCTTAGACAGAAAGAGATGTGCTGTTGACTGAGATTTTTCTTATTGGCTTTGTTCTGGCCATTAGATCAACTGCACTGTTTGTACTTTCAAAGGCTATAAAATGTTATGCAAACACATTGTATGGTGCATCCATCATGAGCTTACTTAAGTTTGCAGCATCCAAAGAAGAGATGATCAGAGGCATCAAAAGCATGGAGCTGCTGCAGTGGTGGAGGATGGATGAAGTGAGATAGGTCTGAATGATGCCGATGGACAAACCCAGAAGGCAGACGGGTGAAAATCCCCAGTTTCACACTAGAAACTCCTGTTCAATCCTGTATTGGGGAAAATGCAGGAGAGAGGCATCTAGGTATGTTTTTCCATGCATCCATCCTTTATTCAGCTTTATGCAGTCTCCTTGCTCCTGACATGGCCCTTCAAGGTGTTCAGATAGTGGAGTAACAACAACAACAAAAAAAAAAAAGCCAGGCAAGAATACAACCCCACTTGTAAAAGTACTGTTCCTGGCCTCTTGGCCTGGCTGGCTGTGCAGTATTCCTGAAGCAGGCAATTTGTAGGGTTATTTCTGCAAGAGTGTATCAAAGCTGCAAGAGGTTCTCAGAGAGCAATGCAAAGCTGCTCTTTTCCCCCATGATCCATAGAGAGAAGACATGAGTAAGGGAACTGTATTCCAAGATTAGAAGGGACCCCATGACCATATTATTTTCTCTTCTGCAATCTTGCCTAGGCAGTGCATCAAAGTATTATTTCATTATTATTATTATCTATTTATTTATTGTAACATATATTATAAAGATTGATATTATTAAAAAATAGCTAATCCACAATTTTTAAGTCCAAGAATCTCTATTTAAGACTATTTTAGCTGTTTGAATGTGGTCCTGAGCAACTGACCCTGCCTGAGCAGGACTGGACAAGAGTACTTCCAGTGGTCCCTTCCAATGTTAGCCATTGCTGTGATTCTGTGACCTCCTCTCTATCTCCTCTGATAAACTGTCCTCGTACACAGTTCCCCACTGATTAGCTGTTTATTATTCAGGTAGCCTTACATCATGGCTACAGTAAAGAATTCTAAGTTTCTGATCAGTTTGTTATTTCATGAAGTGTTGTATTTTATTTTATGATCGAGTAGTGGCTTTATGCAACTTAATGTTGCCAAAACAGAAGGTGGTTCAGCCCCAGTTTGATTTGCCACCATTTTTGCATTTTGCATAATCTTTGTATTGCACACTGTGGCAATGGACTTAAGCAGATCAGTATGTAGTTTTCCAGGTTAGGACCAGAAAGGCTGGAATTCATATAAATTATCATTATTTATATTTTGCTAGACCTAAAGGGTAGGCAAATATGATGGAAAGGATTATAATTTTCTGCTGATTCAAGAAACGTTATTTGGCAAGAGTGCTATTCCTTTCAACTGCAAAATCAGAAGAAAGGTAACTTCATAAGAGAACAGAGTGAGGTGACTTTGCAGTCAGCTGAGATACGTTAATTTGGGTTATGTTGTAGAGCAAATGATGCCAGCATAAACAAACTTCACTTAATTCTTAGCAATTACCTGCAATTTATGACAGAATTACCGTGATGTAGGTCTTGGAAGAATCTTAATCAAGCTGAACTGGAGCAACGTATTGTCATACAAGAGCAAAGGTGTCTGAGAGAGAGGTAGAGAGGAGTATAAATTCTTTCTTCACCTTTGAAGGTGAACATTTTTAATGACATTTATTGTAAACAATGTGAAATTTGAAGGAAGTAGCAATGGCCTAGTCTTAGGAAAAAGAAGCAGGTTTGGAGTTCCTTCATCCATTCAAATAGAGCTTGGATTGTTTCTTTTATAAGGGACCTTGGAACCACATTGTCGCATCTCTACATCCTGTGGATGGCTCACTGTGAGCTCACAGATTTAGATGGGATCTCTTCCTGCAGCTCTCTGAGAGTAAGTATAGTTGTGTCCTGCCAAATGACAATCTTGAAACTATCTCTTCAGTTGATACTTATTACTTGTAGTCTTTTTTCTCTTCTGATTCTTTGTTTTTCTAAAAGACTTTAGTTAGATACCTTGAATTGCATGTGTTAATTTAAGAGATGTCACAGTATTTATTTTTTTTTAATGAGGTGTAACATTCAGGTCTGATCCTGATGATGCCTAATGCAGCACAGTGTTCATTGCCATATTAGCCCTAGTTATTTAAGGTGGCAACAGCCACGCTTGTTCATTTGTGTGCTAATTTCATGCTGTCATGTAGTATTTCAAATATTAGAAAACATTTTGCAAAGCTTGAGTGTTACTTGTGCAAGCCTAAGGTTTATATATTTATTTTGTCTACTTCTGCTGAGGAACTCTACATAGCCTATAACAATATCTCCGACCTGAGCCAGCTGCCCTGGCTGGATCACCTTGAGGTTTTGGACCTGGAAGGGAACAATATTGAGGACATCAACCAGATGCAGTACCTGGGACTTTGTTGCAAGTTGAGCCGCCTGACAGTGGAGGGCAACCCTATCTGTCTGAAGCCAAATGCAGAATCTGCACAGGTGAGGAACTTAGTTTTCATATATTGTGTTAATTTTTGACAATGTAATTTTAGTTTTGAGTTGCAAATGAGAAATGTTGGAACAAGCCCAGAGGATGGCCACGAGGATGATCAGGGGACTGGAGCACCTCCCATATGAAGACAGGCTGAGAAAGTTGGGGCTGTTCAGCCTGGAGAAGAGAAGGCTGCGTGGAGACCTCATAGCAGCCTTCCAGTATCTGAAGGGGGCCTATAGGGATGCTGGGGAGGGACTCTTCATTAGGGACTGTAGTGATAGGACAAGGGGTAACGGGTTAAAACTTAAACAGGGGAAGTTTAGATTGGATATAAGGAAGAAGTTCTTTACTGTAAGGGTGATGAGGCACTGGAATGGGTTGCCCAGGGAAGCTGTGAATGCTCCATCCCTGGTGGTGTTCAAGGCCAGGCTGGACAGAGCCTTGAGTGACAGAATCATAGAATCATAGAATAGTTAGGGTTGGAAAGGACCTTAAGATCATCAAGTTCTAACCCCCCTGCCATGGGCAGGGACACCTCGCTCTAAACCATATCACCCAAGGCCTCGTCCAACCTGGCCTTGAACACTACCAGGGATGGAGCATTCACAGCCTCCCTGGGCAACCTATTCCAGTGCCTCACCACCCTAACAGGAAAGAATTTCCTCCTTATATCCAATCTGAATTTCCCCTGTTTAAGTTTTAACCCATTACCCCTTGTCCTGTCACTACAGTCCCTAATAAAGTGTCCCTCCCTGGCATCCCTATAGGCCCGCTTCAGATACTGGAAGGCTGCTATGAGGTCTCCATGCAGCCTTTTCTTCTCCAGGCTGAGCAGCCCCAACTTTCTCAGCCTGTCTTCATATGGGAGGTGCTCCAGTCCCCTCATCATCCTCGTGGCCCTCCTCTGGACTTGTTCCAACAGATCCATGTCCTTTGTATGCCGAGGACGCCAGAACTGCACACAATACTCCAGGTGAGGTCTCACGAGAGCAGAGTAAAGGGGCAGAATCACCTCCTTCGACCTGCTGGTCACACTCCTTTTGATGCAGCCCAGGATACGGTTGGCTTCCTGTCCATGGCAGGGAGGTTGGAACTAGATGATCTTAAGGTCCTTTCCAACCCTAACTATTCTATGATTCTATGTTTCTTCATCTTCTTATTGTATCATTCTGAGTGATGATATGGGATGTATTTCCCATTTTTCATTTCTGTTGATATTGTCTTGTCATGGGTATTGTCTAAAAGACAAGCACAAATGAAATACAAAGACTGCTAGTGAAGATTCAGGCCTGTTTCCTAGCAATGTGTTTCTTCTTACCTGTGAGAATGGGATTAAACTCGAAATGAGCTTTTACTGATCCATACAGCTGTTCTATCTACTCCCAGCTTGCAGTGCAAACAAGCATCTTAAAGGAAGACCAAGGACAACATGGACCACAGCTATTTGGATCTTTCTAGCTTGTAGGGATCTTGCAGCAGGTTAGAAGGTAGCCAATATTTTCCTTACAAGATGTGCCAGTTGCAATGTCTCAATTACATGTCTGTCTTTGAGCTTTTACATTTCTTTTAGGAGGTTCACTGGTCCAACAGCAAGTGCTCCAGGACCACCACACTCAAAAGTTGAACCCTCAGACAAACAAAGCTTGAGATAACTAGGAAAAGCAGTGTTATAGGAACTGCTACTTGCCCTTTCCCATGAAAGGTTAAAATCAAATTACAAAAAATTACAGTAGTTCACGTCTTATGTACTGAAATGATAAAACCTTTCCTGTGGAGGTTGTTGAGGGCATGAGATTCTCTGTGTCACAAAGATGAAAACACAGTGATAACTGATCAGTTGAGGTATAAAAATAAGCATCTTGGCATATACTAAAAAGGTAATTGGAGGAAAAGCAGAGTTTGAAAAACTTGGTTGAATTAGGTAGGCTTTTCCTCATTTTGGTCACATAATGTCTAATGCATATTATCAGATGACAGTTTATGGCCAGTGAGCAATGTATGGTCATCCAGATCTTTCAGAAGGTCACAGGCCTATGCACATACACATAGGTGTATGCTCATACAGCACTCACTTTGAATGCTGCAATCCCCATAAAGAGCTGATAATGCAGGGGTTAGAAAGCAAAGCAGGTCTTGGTGCTGTGACTCCACTGTGCCATGTTCCATAACTTTGCTGTGTATTTCAAAGTGTCATGCCCATGCCACTAATTTTCATAAAAGGTTGGGTTTGCTATTTGTCCTGGATTTAGGCCTGAACACCGAGGCGCTGTTACTAACAGTCAATCATGTAGCAAACATACACACATTTTAAATGTTCTCACTGCTTAGATACATGAGTTATTCACATTTTTCAGATTTAATTGTTGGCTTGATCATATCCCTCAGTAAAATGAGCCACAGAAGGCAATGCTTTGGCTATGATAATATTCCTCTCTGGAATCCAAAAGAAAATATTGTACTCTTGCCTTTCTGTTTTGAACTGGTAGAAGTATACTTCAGAGACTACACTTGTAACTATTTGTAACCAAAAGATGCAATCATGAGAGGAAAACACATATTCCTACAGTAAGGGAGCACTGCCTGCTTCTGACGGACAAAGTATGCTTAATTTTTTTGCTCTCATGGAGCCAAATACAACTTCTGACACTTCCTTATCATAGCTTCCTAGCATGAAAATGGTGCAGAATATCCTAACAGCATAGAAAGTCTATTTCTGTTCTCTCATCATTCCTGCTCAACAAAAGTGGTGATTTTGGAGGATGTAGTTTTCACTTGGCATCTTCAGCCCTTACATGTACTTGTAATGGAGAAATGTCAGATTGCTCTTGGTTTGTTTAGCTGAGGAAATGAGTCCTTGGGATGCTGCTGTGTGTTGTCATGTAATGGAAGTTCAAAGAGGAGTGGTATGTGGTGGTGTGCCTTACTGCTTTTCTCCACGCTGAATGGCTGTCTCTACTCCTGTGCTATCAGTTGCATTCAAATGCCAGCCAGAATTTGTTGAGGGATGGTGTGTTTTTCACCGAACTGTAACAGAGACAGACTGTAAGCTCACTGTAGTCTCTGATCCAGCCTCCAAGCTGCTCAGCCCCAGGGAGGTGGCTCTTCCCTCAGCTGCTGAGAGCTTCTCTATGGACTTCGCTGCTTTCTCGGTTCCAACTGAAGTTTGTATCTCTTCAGGGTATAGAACCTGAATTATATAAAAGAATAGATGCGGGCTTATTTTGGTGTGCCTTAGATGGCCAGCTCTAATTCCTCAAGCTCCTTCTTGCAATCTGGCCCTTGCTACAGCCCTGTAAAAAGCTCTTCTATTTATTTACTTTCCATCTACAGAATGCTCTAGCTAAATTTGCTGCTTTTTTTTTTTTTCAGACAGCCTGTTTGCCCTCTGTAATTTGATTTTCAGATGAGCTCATCTTTCCCTGTTATCTAAACCAAGAGCATCAACCTGATGATAAATCCTGCAGCCCCTGCTGCACTAATGTAACATGGGTGTAATGTGATGCTCCTCTCCAATAAGACATGGCTGGAAATTGGCTGTAGCCCAGAAACTGTTCAGAGTACATGTGGTACAGGGCAGCATGGCAATTGGTTGACTCATTTTCTAAATTAAGATTAAAGGCTTAGTTAGAGAACTCCAGTGTTTGCCTCTCAACAACAAAAACGCACCCTCTATTTGGTGAGTTCCCCTGCCAGCCTCAGTGCTGCATTGTGCAGAAGGAGGGAGCATACAGCCAGGCAGTTCCCACAGAAAGATTTCTGTTTGTGACAGCTTTGTACTGAATGAGGACTTGGCTTTGTGAGGTTTTCTAATATTGCATGCAGTGTCTTGAAAAGCGTAACATTTACTGGATGAAGTGATTGATTTGCAGGGAGCTGTCCATTCATATTCTGCCAGTAGCAGCGTGCTCTTGTTTTATATTTTCTTTTAGTATCAGTCATCATTGTTTGCTGCTTTTTGTAATCTGAGACTATTTTAACCAGAAATATTCCCATTTCAAAGCAGCATGACCCAGTCAGCCCTGCTATATTGATAACTTTTCCCGAAGACAGAGGTGCCACATGAAGGTGTCTGTACCACCTGAACCCACCAAAACAGCCCAATTTGCAGTGTGCTCTGAGCACAGTTGTAACTGTTCTGGATTGCCTTGCTGCTCAGGGGTTCCAAAGCATTGGCATGTGCTCATGAATCATATTATAACATGTCAGCTCCCCACACATATGCAGAAGGGGCTACACCCATGCTTTCCCCCATGGCTGTCACACTGAGTCCATGTGCTTTGGAAGCAATGGCATTGTTTTTCCAGCACAGAGAAAAGAAACCCAAATGCAGTCCATTTTAGCCTTCTGCATACCTGCTGTTGGTATGTGACTTCTTGCAGAAGCACATGTAGTGTGGAGTAAGCCATCACTTCTAACAGTGTATAAAATCACACACCAAGCCCCTGAAGACTGCCCCAGAAAACCAGTGCAGTTCACTTGCTGTACCTAGTTTATGGGTGTGCCTAAAAACACAATCCATGAAAATGCCCTTTTTCCATCAGCAGGTGTAGCAACAGTCATCACATGTTTTCAAGTCTTCCTATCACCCGAGTATTGATGCAGCAACCACAGAATCACAAAAGCAGGGAGAGAGGCTGGCTAAATGCTGAGGATGCCCAGGCTTTCCATGGGCATCAGTGGCTTTGTACACTTTCGTGCATTATACATAGTAAAACAGAGACAGACGCCACAATCACCAATGGGTAAACAGCAAAGGGGCCTTTGGGCAGGTGTCATGTGTTTGCACTGCTCAGGGCATGTTCACAATAAACCTTTTCTGTAAAAAAATAATTATGCAAGGAGAAAGCTCAGTGAAATGAAAGTCTTGACTCTTTATTTCTGTTGAATTAATAGGTTTGCCTCATAGAAGGCATTTCAAATTATATGCAGTCTTACAAAGTGAACACTGCTGTGCTGCTGGTGGAAGTCCACAGTCTGTTAAATCAACTGTTCAAGTGACCACTTTCTCAATTTCACCAGGAACCAGATTATAATTACAGAGCTGAAGTAAAAAAACTGATTCCCCACTTGGAATATTTGGATGAAATACCAGCAAGCCAGACTGCTCTCCTTCCTCCCAATAGGATGCATGAGGACTGGCTTATCATCAAGGAATCCATCAAGGAAGGTGGTTTAGCTGGAGACATTTCATGGTTAGGTACGTCAGGTTTCCTGTTGGGGTTCATTTTTCAGGTTATGATGTGCAAAAAAGAAAGATGAAGAGCAAGCTGGCCTCTTCAAAGCCAACATTTAATTATAGTGAAGGGACAAAGGGAGTTGTTATGACTTGGGAGGTGAGGAAGCTAGAATTCAGCACTGCAGGCTTAAATTAAAGCTGTCCGAAGCTGGGCATCAAGATCAGGAAAATGCGGATGACTTCTAGAGCATCAGGCAAATCCAGTAGTAACTGGAAGTCTGTGCTTAGCATTAATTCTGCATGACTGGAAAAAGCAAAGCTTGGAAAGGAATATTTTGACAGCAGCTCTTCGTAGCCCTTTCCATAGCAGCAGTCAATCCTACACTGGGTCGATGTAGCAGGATTTCCTTCTCCAATTTAATAATAGGAAAGGCAATTTGGTCACCACCCCGCAATGGCAGCAACATCCAAGCAACTGAGATTGCATGGAGATTTGTTCCATTTTCCTTGCCTCTGTGATTAAGTCCGTTACATGCATTAGTAGGGAGTAAATGGTTTGAAAAAAACACCTGTTGTCCCCTTGCCTGTATCCTTGGTTATAGTTCAGTTGTCCATGCTTTTATGTATCAATCATTCTACATTCATTTTGCTGCATACCATTACATATTACCAAGCATTTCCTAAAACTGCTCCTGTTGCTCCTCATTAATGTAGGCAATGCACTTGGCTTCCCAGCCCTTTCCGCCACCCCCATTGTGATTTGCCTGCCAAGTGTATTTCTTTAAATATTTAATTTGTTTTGGAATAAGTACATACATTTGTCATTTATTTAATCCCTATGGGTACAAATCAGTAGTTGTAATAGAAGTTATTGTGGGAAAAATAATCCATTAAAATCTGATCCCTCAATGATCCTGCTTTGGCAAATATCAGCTATGGTTCAGAAAACTGGTTAACTAAAGTAAGCTGCCAGCTGTGCCAGTAAGGACAGGGCACAAACTTGTAAGTTCATATTATTTCCTAGTGCAGCCAGACTCATATTCTTGCCTTCAGCTCTGAACTGATGAGCTGATATGGTCAGGTTCGAACATCCTCGCATTTGTTTCTTTCCTAGAGCAATGTTGACTCAGGTGCTTTTAACGCACTGTGTATTTCATGAGTTTGTAGTTCTAAGGCCCACATATTTTACAGGTCCCTAACACTCCACCCTTAAGGAAATGCCATATTATTACAGAGCTGAGTCCTCCACTGTTAAGCTGGTAGACTCTCAGCACTTTTCAGTGCCTAGATGAATGGCATGCTTTGTAATGAAATTTGCTCTCCTATGGGTTGTTGGCTGCACATGCTGCTCTTACAGCTGTGATGTGTTCCCAGGGCAGCCGGTGGTTGAGCAGGCAAGGGGATAGGGCTCTATCTGCTTTAGTTAGCTTCTGTATTATCCACCCTGCCCTGTAGCATTACGAAACATCAGTTTTCACCTTTCTCTCTATGGTAGAGAAGTATGTGTCTCTGATGCAATACTGGAAGAATCTGTCACTGCCATTCTCAGATTTCCATAGCTCCTGATATGTAGTTTGCCCTGATTGTTTAATAGCTCTGGTAGCAGTGTCACCATCTGCATTATGCCTGAGTATTTAAGCAATATATCTTAGGACTGGGGGCTTGGAGCAGTAGCAAACCTGCAGTGGTTCCCCCCCGTAGGCAGAGGGGCAGCAAATGAAAGGCAGCATGCTCTTACCCTGGGTATGCAGACAGGAGAAGTAGCAGAGCCCTGGATATGTCCAGGCTCACCTGTGGGGCAATTGGAGGTGGGTGGTGAGCACAGAACACTTCCTGACGCCATATTCAGCCAGCAGTCGGTCTCTGGTGTTCAGAAACAGGAGGAGGGTGGGAAAGGACTTTGGTTTAATTGGGACCCCCAGGTTCTACTGTCTGCAGAGGACAGCTATGGGGGACTGCATGCAGCACCAGGAAGCCTTCTGTCTCTGGGCATGACCCGTCCCAGCATGTTTCTTGTATGAGCAATGACGTGTTTTATTGTGTCCTACAGCTCCAGGTGTGCAGCAGCAGTCCCCATATTGGCAGTGTACGGTGATGGTGTGGTTTGAAGCCTTGAATGACTGTGCTTACTCTAGCAAAATCTCTGTCTTAGATCCATGTCTTAGTGCCAGCTTCCAGACCTGGCACTGTGCAGTCATCTGCTCATGCAGGGAGATCTAGCAGTGCCTGCCTCTTACATGGTGGCTGTCCTCTTCCAGATCCCACTGTTTCTGATGAGCTGTTCACAGAAGACGACTCCAGTGATTTGATACATGGTAACGTATGTTTTTTAATCTTGCTCTTTCCCACACCTCCACCTCCTCCTGATTATTATTGCTGATGAAAGCCTGAGTGCTTTGAATACCACCTACCCATGGTGCTTCTAATCAGGTTCAGCACGTTTTCTTCTGTGGGACTCACCTGCTTTAGCATGGGATTTCCTTTATTTCCCCCTGCAGAAGGAGGTGAATGTCATCTGGCCTCCTCAGCCCCTCACCCCCATCTATTATGTGCTGCTGTCCGTCTTAACAGCCCTGAACTGCAGTGGTGCTCCCTCACTGAAGCTGCCCTTCACACCTTGTCAAAAGCTGTTTTGCTCATTCCTTCAAGTTACACATCAGCCTAGCTGGAGCTCACTTAAGTCACATCTGGCGCATATCATTCAGTCACAGGAATGTGATCCAAGGTAGTACTCTAGAAAGGCATGATGATGCACATTCACTCACTGTGGGATCACATGTGCTCCAACAACAGGTACTGCAGTCTCATACTGCAGCAGCATCGCTGCTGCTAACGAGCACTTTCTTCTGGGTTTCCAGGAGTGGGGCCCTCAGCAAAAGGGGTCAGTTCCTTGATTTCACATACCTGATCTACAGGCTCACCCAAAACACAGGTGTACCACCTCCCTTTGTGCTCTGGCTACCCAGAAGTTATACCAAGTTAGCAGCTCGTGGAGGCAGCTGGATTTAAAGGGAGCTCACTTCTGGTACAATATGTGGCACTTGCCACAATGTCCTTTCCTGGCTCCTGAAAATATCTTGATGGTGCAACTCCACTGGTCCATGGAGTGCAGATTAGATAGGAAGATGAAGTTTGCTTTCCCAGCATTGTGGGCTGTTTCTCTCAGATGCCAGTCTCAGCTCAGTTCTTTGCTGTAGAAGGACTCAGGATGATGAACTAGATGAAGTGATGTAGTGTTGACTGAGTGTTCGTTTGGAAAAGAACATGGAAACTGAATGCAGTTTGCCAGGGAATGAGACCATCCAGAGGCACCTTGACAGGCTGGAGAGGTATATCCATGCAAACCTCATGACATTCAATAAGGCCAAATGCAAGGTCCTGCACCTGGGTCAGGGAAATCCCCCAAACAAATATAGGCTGGGTGGAGACTGGATTGAGAGCAGCCCTGAAGAGAAGGACCTGGAGCTGTTGGTCAATGAGAAACCGATCATGACCCATCAGTGTGTGCTCACAGCCCAGAAGGTCAACTATATGCTGTGCTGCATCAGAAGCAGCGTGACCAGGAGGTCAGGAGAGGTGATTCTGCCCGTCTTTTCTGCTCTCATGATACCCAACCTGCAGGACTGTGTTCAGCTCTGGAGCCCCCAAAACAAGCAGGATTTGGACCTGTGGCAGTGAGTCCAGAGGAGGCCATGAAGATGCTTCAAGGGCTGGAGCATGTCTCCTATTGAAGACAGACTGATAGAGCTGGGGTTGTTCTGCTTGGAGAAGAGAAGGCTCCAGGGAGACATTATAGCAACCTTCCAGTGCCTAAAGGAGCCAAGAAGAAATTTGGAGAGGGACTTCTGACATGGGTCTGTAGGGATAGGACAAGGGGGAATGGTTTTAAACTGAAAGAGGATAGAATTAGATTAGATAGAAGGAAGTTCTTTACTGTGAGGGTGGTGACACACTGGCACAGGTTGCCCAGAAAGTTTTGGACACCCCATTCCTGGTAGTGTTCAAGACAAGGTTGGACGTGACTTTGAGCAACCTGGTCTAGTGGAAGGTGTCCCTGCCCATGGCAGTGGTGTTGGAACAAGGTAATCTTTAAGGTCCCTTCCAACCCAAACCGTGCTATTATTCTGTGATACTTTTACATGCACTTTCAGGTCGCTGGCACTACTGACAGAGACAGTTTCACCCGACACTCACTGCTTCTTCCTGCCCCTTTGCTGCCTTGTATCTTTTTTGGCAAGAACATCTGCATAGCCACATGGGGAACCTGATTCTGATCGAGATACAGCTGAAAAATAATTCAGCAAAACAAACACACACACCCCACAAAAAACAAATTTAGTTTTGATCTGGATCTGTTCCCTGATCTGACTCACTGTGTGGCTACACAAATGTTTGCAGCAGCACAGTGGATGAGGCAGGGCAGAAGCAGAAGGAAACAGATTCTGGTAGAAGCAGAGAAATGCAATGGTGTCAGGCCATGCCAGCTCACACCATGAACCTACACCATGAAATATTACATCTTCCTGTCTGTGAAAATGCTATTGACTGATTTCAAAGACACACCATTTGTTAAATGCTGGAATAAAATGTTCTCTTTTTCTTCTTAGGACTCAGTCAAGTTATGTGTGGGAGCCACACCGAGGCTCTTTGTGCAAGGAGGCAAAAGCTAGGTGTATGTTTTTCTTGTATATGTCATATTCCTGCCTGGTAACCCCCAGGCTCCTGGGATAAACTGAACTCGCACTGTGGCTTGTGGCAGCTTGCTCTCTTCTGCAGCACAAAAGCCCCCCAAGATGCAATTGACCTTGAGGAGGACAGAGCCTCTTGCCCTAAGGTTACAGATGCTCCCATGTGCTAGCAACAATTAACCATCAGCCTTAAAGGAACACATGAAAATAAGCTATCAGCTGATGGTGGTACATTTCGCATTGTCCTGGCTGAGCAGAACACAAGGCAGGATTGCAAAACCTGACAGTATTTCTATGGCAGCTATTATGCAAAAGATTTTTCTTCAGCAGTGTTTTTTTGATGTTGGTATAAATAGCCAAATTGCTGCAAAGCCATTCCTGTTGGCTAAACAAAGGTTGTTCCTCTTGGCAGTGGGGTGGTACCTCAGCCCTGTGGGTCAGCCTGCTCATTTCAGCCGAAATGTAGTGACAGGATGCCCGTGTGTGTAAAGGGGTGCAGTATGGGTTGTCACGGTTAGCTTCTATGGGCCATGAGGTTCAACACAGCACAAATGCACACAAGCATGTTTTTAAACAGACTGTACTAAACCAGGAAAACAGCATGCGTAGGACACCTGCATCACTGCATTGTCAGCAGCCTCACTTAATGCTGACAACAGATGTTGAAGAACCACTGGAAAAAAAGTGTCCCTCCCTTGTCTCTGCACTTCCACTGCACAAGCACTGGGAGATTTTCTGAAACAAATTTGAACATTGGAAATAGATGATCTTTAAGGGCCCTTCTAACCCAAACCATTGTATGATTTGAGTGAATTACTGGGTTATAAACGAGGATGTGGAAGGGGACTGCAGTCACATGCTGAATGATGCAGTTTCTGTGGTACTGGTCTTAATATGCTTATTGTCATAGATACTACAGCTTATACACCAGTGAGATGTAAGTCAACATCTGTCTTACTGCCACCCTGGGTTCCACAAGCTGTAACGGTGCACATGACTGGGGTGTGGGGCTTCTTAAAACTGAGGAGCAAGAAAATAGTGAGGTGTGATCTGAAGATTCAGGTGTAACAGCATCATTTGATGCCTTCTAAAATCCACAATCTAGAAGCAGAGCTGGAGAGAGCTCCTGAGGTTATCAAAATAATTTCTGTCATTTTCCAGCCACCTGCAGTGAGCCCTTTGAAACTCCGTGGTCTGAGGACAGAAAAGCTTTACAGCTCTGAAGGAGGAGGAAGTCTGCACCAGGAAGATGTGCTCTCTGAACTGAGCGCCAAGAGAGAGCAGCAAAAGAGGTGAGACTGCAGGAGAAATCTTGTCGTGCAGTAAAGTGGGCATTCATTTTCTGGTTAAATTAAACTCCTTGGCCACCTGGTGGCGGTTTCGAGGGATAGTCTTGGCCTCCTGCCTTCCTGTCCCTGCGGCGGCAATCCATCCATCAGGCCTCCTCACTGGAGCATCTGCAGGGTGTGCAAGGGAGAAAAAACCTCTGACCTCTCTCTAGAGCAAGCTGAAGACCTGCATAGCCAGGGTGGGCTCACCTGCTTAGTGAGAGCAAGGAAATGACTTTTCACAACTAATGAAACATTCTTGGCCCTGATGGTGCCTACCTTCAGACACTAAAAAAAGTGAAAGTGGATGAGGTTTTCTGCAAACATCACATTGGCTAACCAAATGAAAGCCTGAAAGGAAAGTAACACCCGACTGAGATTCCCCCACCTCATAGACAATTAGTGGTTGTTTTGGAAGGAAAAACAGCTTCATATCCCTGAGCTTACTTCACTGTGTAGTGTTTAAAATCTGTCCCATTTCACTTGGTTAACTATAGGACACTTTCAGATAATCAGACACAGGAAGCTTAGATGGCTAATCCACTTAGAACAATTTTGCATTTCTCTGGGAAAGTGGGAAATCACACTGGCTGACTAAATCCACTTCCCGGGTGTTTGCCTATGTGGCCATGCCAAGCTGCACGTGGCTGGATGCATATTCACAACTCAAAGGCTAAATAAAGGTGTGATATTTGATATTGTCCAGGTGCCTGCATAGAGGACAGCAAGAAAAAGTCACCCAAGCACTGAGGATAACTCTTAGTGATGAGGAAGAGGGTGAAGACTTCAGCCTGACTGACAGTTATGAAGGTGAGACCTCTGATAAGGACCTCATTGAAAGGATTTCACTTGATTCTCCTTGCCACTCCTGCCTCTCCCAGTCTTCCTCAGGTACTGGACCTAAACCTCTGGGGAAGGATCAGCATTGGGTAGTGATACTTGCAACTAACCATTTGTAGACTGGTGTATTAGTAACTGCAGTGTTTTAAGAGATCCGGCTTCTGTGCTCTAGAGCAGCAATTTGGAAATATCACTGGAGAGCTAGACCCTATGAAATCCATTCTAGTTTTTAAGCAGGACATGGTGGCCAACTGTGTTGACCATCAGTTGATTCATCAACATGGATCTGTAGACTTAAGAGGAGCCAAGCTGATCTTAAACCAGGTTAACATCAAGTCTAGAGGAAGGACATGCCTCTGCCTTCTACCTTGTATCGTTAATTTATGGCAGTGACAAGTCTAAAACACTGGTGTTCCACCTGAGCTATATTTTAACCCAGTTGGCACTGGTGGAAGTATTTGGCTGAGCTAATGATTAAGGTTTAACTGGGCAACTGGGAATTCTGGAAAGATATGCAACCAAAGAGATGCATTCAATAAACAGTTTACAAATGAAATGTGTTCTTCTACTCATCAAAAACAAAACTAAAGGCCTCTCCAGAATTGCATTTACATAAATGAAAGCAGAATTCCTGCTCTTCACCACTCATTGAATATTATATTTAAGAATATTTGAAATATTAATAATGGTTATTCCAAATACATATTGAGTACAAAAATACAACTTTGCTACTATTGTTAATGATAACTTTTGGGGGTCTCAGTAAATACTAGCATGTGAGGTTTTACTTTATGTTTCTTTCAAGGGCTAAATTGAGCTATTAAAATTTAGAAAAACAAATGTTTTGGAAGAAACAGAAGCATCATTAAACCATTCAATGTCTCTGTGTACTAATGGTAGTATAAGTAATATCTCTTTAATAAGAACAGAAACGGTTTGGAAAAATCTAAATGAATGGCCAATTGTCCAGTGACCACAGATGTCTTCGATTATGATCTTGTGGTCTCTTTAGGTTTAATCAGACCTTTTTTAGAGTTAATATGATTTCCATAAATTGAGTATGATTTATTATGATCTCATCATCTTTGTAGATTGAGTAAACAATGTCCAGGTATCTCACAGTGCAGCAGGGTCATGCCTTATAGGACTATCAAAGTGAATGGTTGAGCATAAATCTGCCCGTCTTGTAACCAAATCTGCTAGCATTTGGTTACAAGATTGTTGGAGTGGTATGAAATCTAGTATTACATAGGGGATGGGGGCTGTGCAGATGACCCAGATACCAAATTACAAGCTGCTGGCCATAATAACCAAGATTCAAATAATCACAAGCATGGTAGCCTTGGCCCACTGTCACTAATAGACGTATGTGTTTTGCAGAGCAAATACCTGATCAAACTTTAGCAACTGACAGATTTTATTCAGCAAGGCAATTAAAAATATACTTGACCTCTGTGACTTGAGACTGTGTCAAGGTTTGGAGAGGCATTTAAATGCTTCAGCACTTAACTTCGGAAGTGTGTTCTACCCAATCACTTCTGTGGTTTTCTCACAGAAGAACTTGTTGCTGAAAACAGTGCTTCTGATCAGGAAAGGATAAGTCATTTGAGCAAAACTGCTGTTATTTAAAAGTAGTTGCAGCAACAGATCCATATAATCTGCACCCTTTGGAAGCTGTTGAGTGTTATTTCAGGCTCTTGAGTCAGGCATACCAGTCTTTCAGAGTGTCTTTACTTAAATAAAAACCCCTATGAAATTTAGACGTTATTAAAGTATAGTATTATGGAAATTGTTCAGTGAAAATTTTGTATCAGCTTTCAGTTGTTACCTAAGCAGTAAAATACATGCCCATCAGTTAGGGGCTATGAAGCTGAACTCTCTGGGCTTGGGCATGGGCTTGGTAGCACATTCTTTATACTGTGTTCCTGCCCTGTACCCTGCATATCAGGCGCTTAAGTACAGTTGGTTCTTTTAATAGACAAGAGTAATTAGACCCCTGCTACATATAGCATCGTTTTAAGCATGCATGTTATATTTATAAGTCAGGAACAAGACTTCTCTATATGTTGCACCTGAGACTACATGAGCTAATATTAACAGCCAGGTAGTAGCCCTATATGTAGAACAATATTTTCCTTATCTGTCAGGCAATTTCCATAATTTTAAGGTTAATCTCAAGATCTTGTTCTTACACCTCTGCCTCTGATTAAAAAAATCCTCTGATTAAAAAGCGAATCCACTCATCTGCAATTATTCCTGTGCCTTGAATTTCCAATCAGTGGATGAGGTCCTCAGGTATTTAAAACAACTCAGTGCAAATGCTGGCTAGGAATGATGCATGTATGATCCTGCCTGAGAACAAGGGGATGGGTGAGCTGGTTTGCTCCACTTGAGCTGTGCATGGCTCATGAGCAGTTCCAGTGCTTGGCATGTCACCAGCAGGGAGGCTGCCAAGTCACCCAAATCCCTGGCTCTCAGAGGAAGCAATTCAACAAGGCCAGGGGCACAACTGCCCACCCATCTCCATCACACAGCATTCTCCAATACATTTTTCTCACCAAGTCAGTCATTTAGGAATAAGTTGAACTGGTAAATCACTGTGCTTCCCTCCCTGTTTCAGGTTCATCACAGGATCAGGAAGGTGCAGTGTTCTCCAACCCAAACCACTGCCTAATTCCATCTCCTCCAAAAACCCCTTCACCTGCATCTGTAACAGGTGTTGCAGCAAGATCCTGGAAAAAAAGGAACCACAGGATAAGATGCCTAAAAACACCCAGCCAAGAGGACAGGCAGTGGGTACAGCAATGCCAGCCAAGAGCTCATCAAGAAAATTCAGCCCAGCCTCAGGGCACGAAATTTGCTCTTCTGAGCCAGCACAGCATGCTGGCTGCCTCTGGATCTCCAGGGCAGCACCAGCCTGCTGGGAGCACTGGCCAGCAGAGGCCTACTTCAATACCAACAGCTGCTGGATCAACAAGCATCAGGTATGCACACTGCCAGCAGCAGTGCTTGCACTGTGTCTGGGGGAAACAGAAGGGACTTCACAGGAGGAGAAAACAGACTTCTGTGTTGTCTCTGGAGTCGCCTGTCCTGTAAAAACCCCTCCTTTTATTTGTGCTGACATTTACTTTTGTGCGTCTAGTGCTAAGCTAAACATTTCCTCATGTTCCTTATAGCTTGAGCATTGGAAATTTGGTATTTTCTTAAATGATAGCCCAGAATTTTCTTGTGTTCTTACGGCTCCATTCTCATGGACTGATGCCTATGTCTGTTGCAGAGTTCTTGTAGTGGCAGTTGTTCAAGACTCTCCTTAGCTAAACCCCAGCGCAAGTTCCTGACATCACACTTCTTATTTTTTTCTCCCCTTAAAACTTACATTAATTCATGTTAGAATGAGCTTTGGAAAATAAAGTAGGCATTAGAGAAGTGTTACATGCACCAAACCATGGTTATTTATGAACCCGCTTACTGTAAGATTAGCATCTTGTTGCTTCTTCGAAGAAATAAAACTGAGGAGCTGTGAATGACACTTTGATTTTGAAGTTAACATAGGCATTATAGAGCAGTATAGGCAGAGAGTACATGCCTTGTGTGGGAAGCTGGTGTGTCTTCTGCTGCTCCCAAGCCTGGCAGCTTTCAGTTGAGTTTTCAGAGTGAGAGACAGCAGAGCTGGTGGGGAGAATGCAGATACCCAGACCCTGAGTGCAATTTCACCACAGTGTTTCTCTCTTTTCTCTCAGACCCATCGTGGATGAAAGCCTTCCAGGAGAGATCAACCACCACCAGCCAGCTGTCTGCTCATCCACAAAAGCCCCACAGAGGTCTGGACTGATGAACACTGCTTGGCCCCTGACTGCCAGGGCCATGCTGCAGCCATTGCCACACAGACCCACTTCCTCAACATCTCAGAAGAGAAGTCCACAGTCATAGAATGTACCTAGGTGGCGATATGTGTTGGATCTACATACACAGCAGAGTCTTGAAGGATTCATGCTATCTTCTTTCAGCTTCTTCTACAAGCTAAATGTAGAGCTGTGCAAGTAGAGCAGTTCAAACAAATGACATGATTTGCCTCAATTAAGGCTACAGCTGGTCCAGAACTGCTTTCTTCAAAGAGCACCTGCTGATCAACAGAAGAGCTAATAAACCTCTTATTATAGACAAACATGGTTATTTTTGCAGTCTTCATGCACTAAAACTGAGCAAGTCCTAGTGTATTTCCTCTCATGCACACTATGCTCTACTCTGTGAGTCAGGCAGGGACACTGAACCAAGCAGAGCATGGAGCTTGCAGTTTGTGGAGTGGGCTGGAGGAGGTGAGGGACAGAGCGTTCCCTCTCACTCCTATCCCCTTGATCTAGCAGCAGCCCACAATGCATCTTATGCAGCCCTGGATGTTTAACATGTAAGGGACAAGCCAGTGGCTTGAGAGGAAGCAATGTCTGGAGCGGGTTGTAAGGGGAGCATGTGTGGCCTGAGGAAGAGCCCAGGAAGGTCACGTTTTGTCAGAGCTTATGCTCTCCCAGGAGCTCACCCGTCCACAGGCATCTGAGGATCTTGTTGCCTACATTGTTATGGGAGACAATGCTAACAAAGTGGCTTGCAATATTAACATGTTTGTTTGCTTCATAGCTACCTGGAAGGCTTTATCTTGTTTCCTATGGATAGAGGCATACTGGAATGTCATTAGCATGTAAGCAGGTGTCAGGAGCATCCTCTGCAGGTGCCTTTAGTGTCAAGCATCCCATCTCTAGCTTTTTAGACCAAATAGACTTTCTAATTTCATATGACTGAATAATTTTAAGTAATGCTGCCACAAAGACAAGGCAGGGAAGTAAGGGGAAAATCCTTTTTTTTTTTTTCAATAGGGCATTTGTTTTAAATTTGAGTGAGATTCAAACCATTGGTTTGAGTGACTGCAGACTGAGATGCTGATCCAAATGACTGCCTTAAAACTTCATTGATGTTGCAGTCTGAAACCATGCATCATTGCATTTTCCAGTTTAAATTACTATGTTAGAGATATATTTTTTAATTGGTTGATAAACACTGATTACATGGTAGGTTAATGAATTGGTTTATGTTCCTTCTTCTGGTCAGCTTAAAGTAGAGGAGCAGAATAATACAGAAAACACCAAAACTTTGTCTCGCCAGACAAAATACTCTGGAGCTTTAAGCTAATTTGTCCAGTTTTGGCAAGTCCTTGAGGAATTAATCCACCAAAAGTCATTAAAACCTATGAGGTATGTGTTTCTGTGCAATACTTTGGGTGCAGGCAGGATTTCCCATCAGGTGTCGCCCAACACCAGTGCCTGTGTCCATAAACAGGGTCCTAAAATTCACTTTTTGCCAGTGTTGCTGACCATGACCACCGCCAAAACAAAATTCTGGCACAGGGAATGGGGGAAGACTTATTAGTCCTAAGCACATGAAACCTTAGCAGGTAGCAGAGCCAAGCATTGGTGGACAGCTCAGAGGCTTGAGTTTTTGTGTACCACCTTTGTTGTGTCCTTTCTGGGTGATCTGGCCTGCTGAGTAGTATGTGCAAGAGTACGTGCTCTGAAGCTAAACCCATAACATGACTCAGAGCCAGGCTGTCGTGCTTGGAGCAGCAGGGAGGCTTGTTAAGAGAGCAAGCTTGTGATCACAGACAGACACGATGGTTGGAAGAAGGGCTGGTTGTCTCCTCTGCCAGTAGTGGGTGCACCCTCAGGGTTGCCATGCTGTTGTCTGTTGCAGTTTCCAGGACAAGCAAAATAAATCAGGCTGTTGCATATCAGATCTGCACAGCTGTAACACATCCACAGAGGAAATTATCCTCTGGTTTTAGCCTCTGTTCATCCACCTTCCACCTTTTTCATCTAGAAAATGTAAAAGCCAGCCAGGGCTTTATGTGCTTATTACGAAAGGCCAGGCATGATGGGTGGGTTACCCAGGAATTCTGTTCTTTTGTCCCAAAAGGGAAATATATGGGGAGTTTCATTCCGAGTTTTCTTGTCACTGGTTCCTCTGCTAAAATTCTGTGTTGGTCTGTTGAATATGGAGAAAATCCTTTAATGAATGAGCTTATTCCTATCCCTGCCTTTGTAAACTCTATTAATATTTATCTCAGTAGGATCCTTGCTTTTGGTTGGATGCAACTAGTTTCATATGTACATTACCGCTGCCCATCCCCTCGTTCTTGTGAGGAGCTGCTGATGGCTTTAAGTGTCTCACTGCCTTAATGGGATTTGCTGCCAGCTGCCAAATTGATATCTAGAGTGTAAGCAGGAGAGAGGGGTGAGAACTACCCCCCCCCCCAGCTATTAATAAATAAGCACCACAGGGATGTGCTTTCTGCCGGGAGCTGAGTCCCATCAGCACATGCTGCTGACAGAGGGGGTGGTTAGCTGGGGCAGCTGCCCTGCAGGGAGCAGGGCTAGCAGCAAAGGGATGTGGTCCAAAGGGACACTGCTGTGGCGTTAGCAGAAGCACGGTCCACCCAGGAGGCCTCTCAGCCTCTTAGCTGGTGTCCTGCGAGCCCCTCTGCTGGAGTGGCTGGTAGTGCCCTGCATACTGAAGGGCTCTGCTCAGCCAGAGCTTTAGAAAATAATTGAGAAACAAGTGTGGACTGCATGCCAGCCAGCCAGTTACTGCAGTGTCTAACAACCCTTCCTCACCCTGAGGGGAGCATGGCTGAGACAGCATCCCACCCAAACGGGCTCTGACCCGTCCACCGAACAAAGCATCCGCACTGACACATCTTCTCCCCATTGTCATCACGAGCCTTGCTGTGCCTGCGCATCCCCAGCTAAAGCTCAGCCTGATTGTGCTAAAATTAAGGGAGTAATTGAGATGATGTTTTTAAGCATGTCGGGGGGTGACGGCCTTGCAACAGGATCCTCCCGCATGGCACAGTGTAAACCAGAAAATGAAATGTGGGACTCCTGGGTGGAGATCTGCAGTGTCATTTATAATGTAAAACCTGTGCCTGAGGAAGAGAGTGGCTGCGCATGCAATCAGCGAGCCGCCGCTTCGCTTGGGTTTGAAGAGCAAGAAGAACGCCTTTAAATGGACGCTAGAGGGAAGAAGAGAGTCTCATAAGCGTAACTTCCAAAAGACTCGAAAACCAACCACAGATAGCTCCAGAGCATTTGGGAGGCGTTCGGCACTCCCTGGGCGCAGCGTTTTCTCTCTTACCTTCTCCAGCATCCAGTGTTCTGGCCCTGTATGACGCTCCCGAATGCACCACGTTGTATCACATACGATTTGGATTTGTTTGGAAATACTCCCTTAGGAAACCTGCAGTGCCCACAAAATGTAATGGAGAACATCCTGGGCCCTCCCTCTGCATGGAAAAGCAGTGGTGCTATAGAGCATTCATGGTGCTACAGGGCATCTGATGATGCTATGTGCAACCCTTCATGTCTTAAAGAGATGATTTTTGTCACAGGCCATAGCTGCAAACAGGCTCTAGACTGCATGTTTTGATCTCAAGCTGTATCCCCATCCTGCCTCTTGCCATGCCCAGCTGAGCGGAGGTGGTCTGGGGAGGGGAAGGGGGTTATCAACACAAGACCTGGGTGCTCCTGCAGTTGCAGCAGGAGAAAGTGCCTGTTGAACCCACAGCTCGGCACCCAGCCTGGCCTGGCCACCCCAGCTCCCAGGCTCTGGTGGGCAATGCTCCAGGAGCACTCACTGCACAGCGTGTCAGGCTGTGCTGCGCTGTGTCCCCTCCTAGGGAGATGTGTCTGTGTGTCCAGGCTCTGGAGCACAGGGCACACGGGATGCCTGCATGGAATGCTGCCAGGCCTGAGTGGGAGGGGCCGCACTGCCCACACAGATGGGCAGGGATGGAGAGGGGCTGTGGTGTCATGCTGGCATTTGGGATGGTGGCCAAGAGTGCCAGAGCGGGACTCTGTGTGTGCGCATGTGTGTGAGGCTGTGTGTGTGTACGTGCGTCTGCTCCCTGCCAGGTACTGAGCCCTGATGAGAACAGCGCTGGCATCACTGCCACTGTGCCCTCAGCCAAGAGCAGAGGGCATGGGAGGTTGTACCAGGGCAGCAGGGGGGTTCAGGCTGCAGGAGGGCTTACCCAGCAGGAGGCTGATTATTCTGAGTCAGCCATTGCCAATCCAGGGCCAACGAGGAAACAGCAAAGAGCTGCAAAAGCACTCCTCCTCCATCTGCAGGTCTTGGTAGGATTTGTGTCTCCCGCTGCATGCTTCAGGCAGCACAGTCCCCCAGGGAGGCTCTGGCAGAAAGGCTGTGGGAATCCATTCATTTGAGATGCCCCAAGAGGTGTCCTACCCCAGAGCACAGTGCCCATCTGCCCTGCTTCAGCCCTTCCCTGCCCCTGGGTCACCGTAGATGGAGGAGGTGAGGACCAAGCAGCTCTGCAAGTCCCAGCCTCACTGCTTCCCTCTCTTTTGAGGTGTCAGTGCAGTGGGGAGCACCTCCAGGGTCAGCAGTGTAGTTGGATCATCCCAACATCTGCAGTGGTCAAGCAGCATTTCAGCCTCACAGGAAGGCAGCAAGAGTCCTTTTCTCCCTCCCATGGCCAAGGTAAGCTCTTGAGTAGCACCCTGGGGTGCACGGGGTTGGTCTCAGTCTTTCTGGTTTGCAAAGCCTCAGGCCAGATTCCCAGCTGGTGCAAGCTGATGTTGTCTCCCCGATTTCCACCCAAACCACATTATACGTGCTAGCTGCAGAGCTGGTCCTTCCCTCTCTAAGCACTGTGCCCATCTCAGCAAGGATCCTGGGAGGCTGGCACAGTTTGACTGGTTTATTTGATGGGCACTGGGGCTGTTGCTGCCACATGCAAGTCATTCCTGTTCTGGATCATAGAGCTTGAACCATCTTTCCTATTTTCAGTGTTCCTGCCATGGCTTCGTTTGCAGCATCATCACTGTTCAGCAGCTGCCTGTGCTGCATCTCCAAGGAGGGTACCAGAGCTCAAGGGCAACTCCCAGGCTCCCATGGGACCAGCAGGTGCTCAGCAGCCACCCACATCTGTGTCCTCCCCACCTGCAGGAGGCATTGCTCAAAGCTTGTAGCTTCAGTCCAGGAGCAGTGTGTTTTGGTCCTGGAATGTTGTTGATGCAGTGGGTCCAGGGTCCCCTATCTGCTCAGGCTTTTCATGGGGGCAACCAGCTTTTAGTGATGGGATCAGGTTGGCTTGGGATGAGAGACCCAGGGACATGCTCTAGGTGAGGAGGCAGGTGCCAATTCACTGCTCTGAGGATATTCATGATGCTGTCAGGGAGGGGGCAGCAGACAGGAAATAAATACAGCTCAAACGCAGGAGAGAGGTGAATATAAGGAACCACAAGAATACCTCTGCAGGGTAAATCCTAACCCACTAAACCCTCACCCCTGGCCCTGTGTCATCTCCAACTATAGCAAGTAGCAGATGCCCAGAGAAAAGCCATCAGAGCATAGAAACAGGACAAGTAATTTCTCCAGCTTGTCTTGCCCCATCTCTCAGCTAAATGCCTGTTGCACAGGATAAATGAATGCCAAAATGGGCCCAAAATGCTCTCCCAGCATCCAGCAACCTGTGAATTTAAATCTTTGCATTAATACATGGCATTGGTTAGATATTGTTAGATTGGCCTGGTTTTGGGGGGAGCATCCTTCCACAGCTCCTTGTCCCCATGCCACAGCCTAAGGGTGGGATGCAGCTGGCATGACTGCCAGTGGCTCCATATTTCCAAAGACTTGGTGTTGTTTTGTCTGAATAACAGAAGCCCAGAATAGCAGCCGGGAGGGGATCGATGTGTGTTTGCCAAGAGGAATGGAACTCCAGAGAGGCTGCCGTTGCTCCTCATTCTCAGACTGTTAATCAGCTCCAAGTCTCCCCACTCCCCCCAGCGCTGCCGCATGCCACCTCTCCCCTGCTCCATGGCTTCCCTGAGCAGGCTGTCCCGTCCAGGATCCACCCCTGAGGCTTTCCCCTTTTTGCTCTGCTTTGGCTTGCTGGGGCTCATTGGCGCATCCTGCCAGTTTGCTCTGGCTCCAGACACTCCTGCCTTGTGCTGCAGGGGCTGGTGTGAGCAGCGATGCTTCATGCTGCCATCACTGTCTCCCT